GCCTTTTCAGTTTTGTAAAAAGCAAAAGAAAATGGTAAAAACTTCAAAAGTTGAAATCCTTTGAGATGTACTTATGTTACCACATCTACTAGTTAGGAAAATTTAAAAACTTAAATTTGGACATGTTTTGCAAAAAGTGCAGGGAAAACGTAAAACGGCTATAACTTTTGCATGCGATGTCAGAAAAAAACGTATAATATATCAAAATGTTCAGCACGAAAATCCACATCTGATGGGGACAGCCTATGGCCTGTTTGCAAATTTGTAGAATGCTCAAATTCTAAAAGGAAAAAAAGTTATGCTCAAATTTCAGTTTTTTTTTCAATTTTTGTTAAATCTGGTCAAACTATGGTCAAACTACTTATTCAAGAAGTATTAGTGTTACTAAATAATTATTCAAAAATATTAGTGATACTAAATAATTATTTCAGTTTTTTTGAATTTTGGTCAAATCTGGTCAAACTATGGTCAAATTGTGGTTAAACTATGGTCAAACTACTTATTCAAGAAATATTAGTGTTACTAAATAATTATTATTTTTTAGAACAATAGTTTCAAACTCAAACAGTGAAATGTGTAACTTCATGCTCAAGCTAAATTCCTAAGGGTTAATAGGATTGACATCTTACTATTGTTAGGAAAACAACAAGTGCAGACTTGAAAACGAGGGAGAATAGAACCCGGAAGTTAAGCGTGCTCAGGCTGGAGTAGTGAGAGGATGGGTGACCGTCCGGGAAGTTAGATGATTTGGAATGATGAGGGGTGATTAGAGATTAGAGGTTAAAATTAGCAGTGATGAGGGATGATTATAGATTAATGGTTAAAATAATTTAAAAATAAAAAAACTCAAAAAAAATAAAAAAAATCATAAAATTTCCTTTAGTACCGGTTGGTGTTACCAATCGAGACTAAAGGTGGACCTCCAGGCAGCGGCCACGTATAAGAACAACGACACTTTAGTCCCGGTTCCAGAACCGCGGCTAAAGAAAACTCAGCCAGAGAGAGCTGCCGACACCCGACCCTCATCCAATCGAGGAGAGCAATGGAGGTTGCAGCTGGGGCGATGAGCCCTCTCCTCCGCAAGCTCGGTGAGCTTCTCGTGGCTGAATTCACCCTGGCCGAACGGGTGAAGAAGCGCGTCAAGTCCCTCCGTACGCCGTACTTCGCTTTCAGATCTTGCTTATAGTACTCGCTCCATTTCATAATAGTGTGCAGCTGCACTTTTAAGAAATTGGGTTAAAAAATATGCACATTTCAATGGCAGAGGAGGGCCACGAGCGCGGGTCCACAAGTCATAAGACAAAGGCAGCAGAGGGGCCGGATGCCGCGAGCTTTCCTCATCTTCGTTCCCCAATCCGGCCGGAGGTGCGGCAATGGCGTTCCTCAATCGGCCGCGGATGGATGGTCACACCCGACCCTCATCCAATCGAGGAGAGCAATGGAGGTTGCAGCTGGGGCGATGAGCCCTCTCCTCCGCAAGCTCGGTGAGCTTCTCGTGGCTGAATTCACCCTGGCCGAACGGGTGAAGAAGCGCGTCAAGTCCCTCCGTACGCCGTACTTCGCTTTCAGATCTTGCTTATAGTACTCGCTCCATTTCATAATAGTGTGCAGCTGCACTTTTAAGAAATTGGGTTAAAAAATATGCACATTTCAATGGCAGAGGAGGGCCACGAGCGCGGGTCCACAAGTCATAAGACAAAGGCAGCAGAGGGGCCGGATGCCGCGAGCTTTCCTCATCTTCGTTCCCCAATCCGGCCGGAGGTGCGGCAATGGCGTTCCTCAATCGGCCGCGGATGGATGGTCACACCCAGTCAATCCAGGTCAGTCTCTCCCGAGTTCTTACCAAGAAAGAAGAACGTAGTACTAGCATATTTTAATCTCGTCGGCAAACTTTACCACTGCCTTAATTTGACTGAAGACTCGATTACTCAACTGGCTCCTACTACTCGAGTTTTAGACCTACCTTTGTACTAGCAGTAGGGATTACCAATAACGAAAAGAAATGGTTCAAGATTACATTAACTAGTAACTAAACACGACTATGTAACTGAAGACTGTGTACGTATGTGCAAGTCAAGTACATCATTGGCCGCGTCAGCTTGATGATGGTCTCTAATCTCCAATGGCTCAACAAGCCACCAAAAGCTAAAGTTCCATCCCTATGAACTGGATAAGTCACCGATTAATCGATCAAGTCTTCATATTTAATTCATCATTCCTTGCTAATTCTAAGTTGCTGACCACCCTTACATTGCTGTCCTACTGTGAATTCGATGACTGTCACACTCAACTTTACACCTAGCTACTCTTTAGAACGAAGCGTCGAGGATGGCCGGCCTTTTGAATATTATACTTCATTCAAGAGGCAACACAAATCATTGTGTCTCAGCACCTAACATGCCCAATAACAGAGAAGAAACATGGCTCAGTGTGCAAATGACCACTCCTTATTGATTGAAGAAAGTACGAAGCTATTTCCATAAAAGGATCCATCCACCAAAGACACACGAACAAACAGCTTTGCACAGCCTTTCTCGCCTAAAAACACCCCCACCAAACGAATTCTGCCGGAGCCGGAGGAGATGATGGAGGCGGCTATTGGCGCAGCAGTTCGCTCCGCGATTGGGGCCGCAGGCAGGCTCATCGGCAGTGTGGTGAATAAGCTCTCTGATAAGTTGGTGGAGGCGTATGTTGCCAGCTCTGAGCTCGGCCTCAACTACAAGAAGATAAAACAGGATCTCATGTTGACGCAAGGGCTGCTGCATGAGGCCCAGAGGAGGGGGGTGAGCCACAATCCTGGTCTGCAGGGGCTGGTGCAGCAGCTCAGCGGCAAGGCCGACGAGGCTGAAGACACCTTGGACGAGCTCCACTACTTCACCATCCAGGACCAGCTCGACGGCACCCAGTACGCGGTGCCGGATCTGGGCGAGGGCCTCCGTTGTCAAGCACAACACGGTGGCCATGGTGTTCGCCACACTGTCGGTAATTGGATTCCCTGCTTTTCTTGTTGCCGTAAAGAAGTGGATGATTCTGCTGCTGTTACCAAGAACCCACATAAACCAACCAACCCTGGCAATGGTAATGATGCTCCCGTTCCAGTTGATAAGCTTCAGTTTGACAGAGTGGCCATGTCCAAGAAAATTAAGTCTGTGATAGCATAGCAAGTGTGTGACCCTGTCTCCAAATTGCTCAACATAATTCCACACCATGGTAGCATAGCAAGTGTGACCCTGACACGGTCTCCCATGGGATCAATCAGTACCCAACATACACTTTACGGAAGGGAAACTATTTTCAAGAAAACACTAGATGATATCACCATTGGTACATATCATTCGGAAACCAGCCTTTCTGTTCTTCCTATAATTGGTCCAGGGGGTATTGGAAAGACAACTTTCACCCAACACCTCTATAGTGATAAAAGAATGGAAGAACACTTTGATGTTAAGGTTTGGGTGTGTGTATCAACTGATTTTGATGTGTTTAAGCTCACCAAGCGTATCTATGATGGCATGCTTGGAGCTGAAAAAGAAGAAAGCAACACAAGTGCAAATCAAACAACCAACTTGAACGGGCTACAAGAATCTATCACCAGGAAATTGAAGTCCAAAAGGTTTTTGATTGTCTTTGATGATATATGGGAATGCAACAGTGAAGGTTGGGAAAACTTGTTAGCACCATTCATCAATGGGGACACCAAGGGCAACATGGTTCTCGTTACAACTAGATTTCCATCTAAAGCTGAAATGGTGAAAACAACCAACCCAATAGCACTGGAAGGTCTGGAGCCTCAGGTCTTCTTCACATTTTTTCTCAGGTTGTTGCTTGCTTGCCGGAGCTGAACTGCACTGCACTAGTTGTAGTGCTCCAGTTTCGTCAGGGTTAACAAGCTACTGCTAATTTGTCCAGACTGAAGCAGCAGCAACGCTACAAGTTTTTCTCAGGTTGTTGCTTGCTTGCCGGAGCTGAACTGCACTAGTTGAAGTCCAGCCTTTGAAATGGAGTAAAGTTTACAGTAGGGAAGAATTGATGTGCTGATCATCATCGTCCACAAACACGCTCTTATCTACTGCGTGCCAAGTTCTGCAGATGCTGATCCTGTCTGATCGATTTGCCATGATGATCAGGGGGCGGAGGACGATGGTAACTCAGCGATGCTGGCCCAAGTTCAGTGCACGGGCCTTGCCCGACGACGACGAATGTGGCCAAGGAGGATGCAGTCGCAGAGGCCGAAGAAAGACTGCTTTCCAGTACTGAACCATAGTAACTTCCTCCTCAGGGTTCACGTCTTCAGGTTCGTCATGAAGGAGGCAGGCTGACAGACAGACACCTGCCCGACGATGCATGCCACAGCAGCAAACATGAAACAAATCAGCACCGAAAACCCGAATCATCGATCACGCAACCCACGGACTACATGTGATGTAATCAGTACCTTCAATTTGATCCATCCAGAACTACGCAGCACTCCGTCGAATAATTTGATTGCACAGGCTCAGTGGTTACTTTTGTTGTCTGCACTGCACGGGACGACCAACTTCTAAATTGGCTGCTGGCTGCAAATTGTTCTGCAAAATCCGAGGAAATTATCAAAGGTCAGAGAAGTGCGAACAAGGCAAAGGGAACTCGTCGTCTAATTTAAATTTAAATGCCTCAGTTAGTTACTTTGAGTTGGCCAACAGGCGTGAACCTGCTAAACTGGGACTCAAGCTCTCACCGATGCCAGTGAAACATCGCGCACTTCAATGATGTTTTCTCTCTCCTTTTTGAACGGTAATCTGCACAAGAGGGGAGGCGCTATGCTTCTATTCTATCTTGAATCATCAGGGTCGTTTGGGGTTCATCGACAGGGGAGGGGAGCAGGCCTGGCCTGACATAGTTGGAATAAACAGATTAGTACTACCAAAAATCTGAATCGTCCATCATGCAACACCCACAATTTTCAGATGTAACTTCTTTAACCACCACTTGATGCCATGAGTTACCTCTGAAATGGCCGATGATGCACAATTTCGCAGCCCTCCGTCAAGACACCAAGACAGAGGCGCACTCCGAGTGGTCACTTCTGCGTACCAACCTGATTTTATAAAAATTCACTGTTGGATGTGAATCTTTCTGCCGAAACAGAGTAACGAACCTAAGAATTAGAAAATGGTGTCTAGAAAATATGAAACCCTAGAATTATATGTTGTATTGATCTGACCCTTGTGTAGGGTATATATAGGAGTACAAGAGAGGTAGAGACTTGGAGTACAAGACAAGTTACATGTGGTTTAAACTAATTCTATCTCTATCTCCTTATCTCTAACTTAAACCCAATTATATTTCTAACATTTCCCCTCAGTCGTAGCGGGAGTGAAGCAGACGAGTACGACTGGATTTGAAGTCTTGCGCTTTCGTCGTCTTCTCCGCCGCGCCATCATCAACTGCGTCTCTGATGGGTTGGCACCTAGGGCGGTGACTGCGTCCCCTTCTGGTGCCTTCATGCCTTCTCCTCTATTCCCTCCCGCAGTCACAGCGGAAGTGGCGCGGACGCTAGTGACGACGCGGACGCTGTTGACTGGGGTTGTTGCCGATGAGTTGTTGTAGACGTAGTCGTGTGGTCGATGTCGAGGTAGCCGGTCAGGGTGATGTAGCCGTGGTCGATGGTGTGGGCGTCGTGGATGATGAAGCCGCACAAAGCCGGAGGCGCAAAAAAATGCGCTATGACGGGGCTGCAGACGTGGACGATACACCTTGCGGATGTCAGAGGGTGCCGTCGGCGATGAGTCCGCCGGTTTTGCCAAGACCGGAGGAAGCCCATCGAGCACACATCGGTTTTGCCAGAACCGTGTGGCCGTGCAGGGTCGTCACTGTAGTGACGCCGTGTCGATGCAGTTGTGTTGTCGTGGATGATGGGTCGATGCCGTCGTCGTGGTCGCGTCTTGCAGAAAAAATCTGTCAGAGGACGCTAGTTGTCCATCCTGTGGACGAGGCGGTGGCGGTGTGTCGACGATGATGTTGGTGAAGACCATGTTAATGAAGACCTTGGCAATGAAGTGTCGGCGGTGCAGCGACATGTCAACAATGATGCATCGCTTGGAGGCGTCCCTCGTGGCGACGGGGTGTTGATGTCGTGTCGTGCTGAAGAAGTCGATGAAGAATTGCATTTCGTTTCACACCGGCCTGGCGTGTGAACAGTGCATATTGAGGTCGCTTCTCGTAGGTGTGGTTAATGAAGTATGTTGGCTCGCGGACGGGCTAGTCGTACATGTCGATGAAGTGGCACGGGGTCGATGCAGAGGTGTCGATCGGTGGTGTAGATGTCGATGCAATTGCAGCAGGCCGGCTCGGTGTAGATGTGTTCGGCTTGGTGTAGTTCGGCTTGTTGGCGCGCAGGAGGTCGATGGAGTCGGCCTGGTGGAGATCGCGTCCGTGCGCGTGCAGTGTAGTCGATGCAGATCGTAATTTGTGGGCTTGATGCAGATGGTTCAATCGCTTGATGCAGTTTGCCGTCGCGGTGCAGATCGTTGTTGGCGTAGTCCCGAAACAGAAGTCGATGTAGAGACGATCCGTGTACAACCGGAGGCATGGCCGACGATCGGAGCTCCGATTGATCGAAGGCGCCAGTACTCGTCCGTAGACGCGTACGTGTAGACGAGACTGAAGCTTCATCTGAGTGCATGCACGTACCTCGGGCTGCTGGTTGCTTCGTGTCCCACGTCCTCGGAGGCTGCGCATGCACATGGCCAAGTGCATGAATCACATGCGTGCGCATCTGTTGATGGAGCACTGCGCGTGTGTGCATCCACCTCCACGACAAGCTCGCCATAGCCGTCTCTGTAGGTGCCGAGACAGCGCCGCCTTGAGTCGCGGCCGTATAAGCCGCGCATGCGGCCTGAAGTGATCTGGACGAGGATTTTACACAACTTTCTCACCGAATTTGAGGGTTGAGGGATTTATTGGAGGGTTGAGGGATTTATTGGTGGTGGCTACAGGAAACTAATCTACTGGAAATTCATATTGAATTCATGCTCCAACCAACTCATCCAAAAGTCCGAACTGATGGAGGGAGGCGGGCAATATATTTCAACACTTCCCCTCACGTTTAGCGTATTTTAGTCCTTAGACGTGGGATCGATGTACGCCGCAGAATCGTTTTTATTTAATACTGCTTTGCCAGGGTCTTGAACTCAAGACCTCTTGGCTCTGATACCAATGTAGAAAATATGAAAACCCTAGAATTATATGTTGTATTGATCTGACCCTTGTGTAGGGTATATATAGGAGTACAAGAGGGGTAGAGACTTGGAGTACAAGACAAGTTACATGTGGTTTAAACTAATTCTATCTATATCTCCTTATCTTTAACTTAAACCCAATTATATTTCTAACATGGTGAACAAGGTAATGGATTTCAATTCATCATCATGGATACAATCTCTCGTCGTTACGTCGAGTCGTTGGTCCATAGATGAATCTGAAATTTCGGACCTGAAACTCTGAAGGTTGACAGTGAAACATCACCATATATCAAATGTGCACAATATGTAGTCGACGGCTGCGGGTACCATGGACTGTATGAACAAATAATCAACCTGTTCCAGTGTTTCATGAAACGTGTTTTGATTAGCTCAGCAAACATTTTTTCCCTTTAATAAACCAACAAAAGTGGAGAGAAGAAGGTGCTGCCTACACCCTAGCATACAGTAAGTAAAACATACCAGAAGATCAGATGCTCTTCCACCCAAACTGTTAGTCTTGTGAAACAAATCAGTAGTCACCGGGAAGCCAACTCACGCAGTGGATAGCAGGAACATGCCTGGAACAAATCAGTGCTTTAGTAGGGATAAATTTTGTCCGTTTCTAAAAGAAGTGAAAAATACGACCAACTGACCTTTTTGAGATGGTATGAAAAAAGCTCCTTCAGGACAGAAAGACATGCTTCTATTACTGTCATATAGTTTGGACAGAACAACCAAGTTCTGAATTCCAACTGCAAAATTGGCAGTTAGCTATCATGGTTCTGCGGAATCCAAGTAATGAATGTAACATCAGAAAATTAGCAAGGTTAGCTAACTCATTGGTTTAATTCATTACATTGAGTTGGCCAATTGGCGAACCTGCTAAGTAAGAATTGATGCAATCTTCACAATGTGCACAAGATGCAGTTGGCAGCGGGTGGTACCATGGACTGACCAAGATCATGTAAAATAGCGTACCCTGTTTTAGCATTGAGATGTTCAGATAATTGTGAGGAAACATAGTTGCATTATGCCACCAAAATGGAACAAATAGGGTGTGCTGCTTACACCATATGCAAAGCGCCTTCCCTTCTTCTTTCGTGAAGATTTCCACCCCATAATTATTCCAAAACTCCAAAGTGTGGAGAGTAGTTGGTGGCAACTAAACTGCAGATAGGAGCAACAAGCACCACCACTGCGATGATAAACTAAAGAATAAGAGGAAGAAAAGAAGGAAAGGGTGATCGACTGACCTTTGAACTGTCTTAATAGAACTGCATAGCTTCTTCTTGATGATACTTATGTTACTCTTATTGCTATTGTTTGGTTCGGGCAACCAATTAAGTCCTGAATGCCAAATCCACCATGGGAAGTAATTTTGGCGGCGATGCAGCTGCATCCATCAATGTTGTTGTTTGGATTGAACAGCTGAGCTTTGAATGAAATTTTCTGAATTCACTGTTGGCGGTTATTGTTTTGTAGAATCCAAGTCGCGAATGTAAGGTCAAAAAATGATGAACAAGGTAATTAATGAAAACCATCATGGATCTTGTTGCTCAGTCCTTACCTTGACTCGTTGGTCAACAGGTCAACCTGCTAAATACGAACTAAAACTGTGAAGGTTGACAGTGAGTCTAGTCGGCGGTCGAGGCTATCATGGACTATATGCATAAATAATAAGCCTGTTCCTATATTTCACGAAACATATTATAAGTAGGGTTGACTGTTGAGAGTTGAGACATATTCAGGAAAACGT